AATCGTATCACCGTTATCGAAAAATATTCTATCGCGATATATATTGATATCGAATTATTGTCCAGCCCTACATATATGTAATACTCATATTGCAAGACCTCACTCGTTTATCAAGTTAAAATTAATTTTAAAATTTTGCTCGTGTTGCAAAACACTCGCAAACCAAGGTTTTACTGTATTATTATTTCTTATTTTAAATGCATATAAATGCATATTATTCTGTAAAAAATACTGTACAAGTGTAAACAATTTTACAGAAACATCTGTAAATTTTACTGGAGTTCAATGTAAAACAACCACCAACTACATGTAAAGTTTACTTGGTTTCAGTGTAGAATAAGCAACGGTTAGATGTAAATTATATTGAAATAATTGGCACAACAGCAGCATGGCCCTGCTAAATTAACAGAAAGATGTTGAATCTACAAATTCACTATGTAAAATGTTACAGTTTTGGTATGTGAAATTGACAGGCTGTTTTGTAAAGCTGTTTACATTTTCACCGTAGTTTTTTTACTAAATTATTCTGGTAACCACAGCTGCCAGCACTTGCTTGCCAAGATAACACGCTCTTTATTAGTAGTCCTGAAAAGAACTACATCAGGCACCCAATGAGTAGCGAACCAGTTATATGCAGGAAACACGAGGTTGTCAGATACTCAACTGTAAGATACAAGGGCTATTTACAACTTCACACAGGGCATGCTGGGATATACGCCCCGCCGGTGCTACAGCATTTTTTATCACCTCAGTGGAAAAATACCTTCTTATCAACTGAGCAGACGTGTGCCAGGAGGTGAAGTTCTGACAGCAGCCCCAAATGAACTATCAAAAGCAGACTGACAAACAAGAAAATCCTGAGTCGTGTGGGCTATTTCTTGTTGGTTTGTAACACACGAAGCAAAAAGCAAGTGTTGATATATCATTTAAAGTTTTACTGTTTCTCATCTGTAGAGCACAAAATACTAATTTGTAAAATGTAATACGGTTTCTTTCAGTATAAACAAAGTTGACCTGATTTTCACACCGTTATGTTGTAATTTTAACTGTATTGTATTGGTTTTTATATTACAGTTTGTTTGCGTTTAAACTACAGTAATTTGTTAACTCTACCAAAAATTTACTGAAAAATTAACTGTTGTTTTTTGTTAAGTATTTTACAAAATATTAATATCAAATATACGCTGCTCTATTGTTTTTCCTTTTACAGTTTTTTATGTCGTTATTTTACAGAATTTCTCTGTTAATTTCACAGACATTTTTTAGAGTGTAATATCACTGTTTTTGTTATTTAATTCATTTTGTTTGGCATAAGTTGCTAAGTTTCCCCAACCTATTGGATATTTGTATTTTAGTATGCAATTATAGTTAACACAAGGTTTTTCAGGAATGCATTAGTCGCGTTGTAGCTGGACTGACTTGACATTGAAAAATACATAAGGAATTGCTGCTTGTCATATATTGTAAAATGTATAATATATATACAATATATTTGTGATTTTATATATAGAGCTCTGGGAAAAAATTAAGAGACCACAGCAAAAAATTTTGTTTCACTCATTTATCAATTTTTGGGTATGCGCCCCTGTAAAATGTAATTTTTTTTTGCAAACTCCACCATGGCTTCATTGATGAAGGGTTTCTCACTTGATTTATGGGTCTTCAATCATGCTTCTAGGAGCTTGTTATGAATTGTCCTAGCAATGCACTTCACACCACTTTTTGAAGGTCACTTTAGGTAATCTTCCGATTTATAAGGCACCGCCAGACAAGTTGACAGTCATCTCTGGCATTAGAAAGTTGCTTCTGCCCCCTACCTGGCTGATTTTTGGTTATTACCAGTGTCTCCTGCTTCACCTTGTTCTTGTGCCTCGCAGTGTAGCCTTCTGCCAGCAGACAAAGGATTAAACCAGGATTTAAGAATGAAGATTTTTTTTTAAATATAGAATGTTCTTTTAGTTTTTCCAGAGCTGTAGATTTTCACTTCAGGAATCAGGAGGGATCTTTTTGGCCACAGTAGTGTTACGGATGTCAAATGTGTCAATGCGGACATGAACTGTGGCCTCATCTGCACCACTGACGTTTCTGTGGTTCGGGGCTTTGCAGCAAAAGGTGATCATCCTTCAAGAGGATCCCAGAACAACCGCATAGACTCTCAAAATGGCAGACTGGCCAAACTGCCGGTACCGGCCCGGTCATCCTCACTTCGAGCCTCCACTGAAAGGTCAGTCCAAGGGCGTGGGTGATTCCAACTCCTGTAATTATCCAGTGTAGGAGGATGATCCTTCAGTAGAAACCCATTGAATTAATCCTCTCATGCAACTTTTGTAAATTTTCCACATAGCTAAGATGTAAGGCAGACGGCCGCTGGTCATCAGTCAGTCAATCAGTCACTCAAAACTTTATTAGAGACTCATGGTCCAGATAAAAGACAAGACATCACACTGGATAAATTACATACATAAAATACATACATAGACATATCTAGTATATGCACATACAGAATATGTTCTACATGGAGACAAATATACCAATGTCTCCACAATGGGGACTATCCTACCCAGATGGCTCATTTTGAGGGAGATTAGTCATGATGGTGATCCATGGTGGCCTTCAGCTGCATCATGTGATTATTATGATGTCTCTACAGGCACCTGTGAGCCTCTGGCTTACCTTTCAATCTTGCTGTAGACCCAGTGTTCAACCAAGAGAGACTCAGGAAATTTGGAATATAGCTTAACTGGACAGTTTCAGCTTCTGTTACAGCATAATATACCATATTACTGTTTCAGCAATATCCATCATACTAATTAATGACTTTCTGTCTCATTAAGGTATCTGACAATCTTTCTGTTAGTAATATTCTTTGTGTAGTACTGTGAGGCTGGTACCCTCTCATTAGCCTAATCTAACTGGTTGTGTAGTTATTGTTTGTTGTGTCAGTATACTGTCATGGGCTTATTCTGGAAAACCTCTGAAGAAGCAGAAGGTAGATTCAGAAGCCCAAGGACATGCACACTTTAGTAGAATGCTTAGGGTCTGTTTCAGGCAGTTAGTGGAGATCCTATTAAGGCTTAGATCCCTTTAAGAAGTTGCAGCAATAACCAGAGACCCTGGAAATCTTTATTTCACAAAATCCACTAAATAAGTTATGCTTGTTTCCATGTCCTGTTATTTTGAATGTTGTCTTCATGCTTCTCCATGATACCACAGTAGGTTGACTGTTGACTATTCATGGGTACAACACCAAGCACTACATAAGAGGATTTTGCAATGAAAGCATAATTCAGTTAAAATAAATTCATTGAAGCTTCCAATTAGCATTTGGGGATGTAAACACCACAAACCGTTTTGTACGGGAAGAATCAAGCTAATGGGACATAGCTCAGATGTAGTGAAATAGGGATTGACAATATAACAGGAGAGGCAGAGTCAGTGTACTAGAGACTAACTGGTTGAGGTTTTACCAAAAATCTGCCAAGAGTGTTGCCATGGAGACTGTCCTCTATTGTGATTCGTTCTCCCCCCCTCCTCAGGAATGACTGGGAGCCCCCCGACAAGAAGGTAGACACCAGGAAATACCGTGCGGAGCCCAGGAGCATATTTGAATATGAGCCAGGGAAGTCATCAGTGTTGAAACAGGAGAGAACGGTACTGTGATGATTTTTGCTGCTTATGTCTGGTCCATGTATCTGTCTTTCGAGTTCTTCCCTGCTCACGTCTGACCGCCTCTGTCAAGGCCAGGAAAGCCGCTTAATCAGCTTACCCTCTGTTCGGGTTACTGCTGGTTATCATGTGGTCTGTGTTCCCAGTTAATCAGTTTATCAGTTTATTTTATAGGTTGTACTGCTCAGTTTAACATGTAATCTGCATTTCTCTGTTTGCAACATAATCGGTGTTTGTTTAACAAATAGTGTGTGTTAATCAGCTTATTACAGTATGTACTCTGCATTAGTTTATGGTATAGCCTGTGTTTATGGCAAATTTGGTGTCAGTTCATTGTATGGTCTGTGTTATGTAGTTTATAGTGTAGTCTGAATCAGTTTATTAGGTGGTCTATGTTACTCAGTTTATGGTGTAGTCTGCATCAGTTTATTATTTGGTCTGTGTCATTCAGTTTGTGGTGTAATCTGCATCAGATTGCTATGTGTTCTGTATCACTTGGTTTATGGTGTAGTGTGCATCAGTTTTATTATGTGGTCTGTGTTACTTTATGGGATAGTCTGCATCAGTGGTCTCTGTTACTATGTTTATCAAATAGTCAGCATCAGTAAACTGATTATTTTCTGGTAGTTTTCTTATCTTTTTTCCTCCATTCACCCATCGTCTTTCCAGGCACTAATGTCCCTTCGAGACTCCAAACCTCTTTGGCAGTTTATTGTATGGTCTGTGTAACGTAGTTTATGGTGTAGTCTGAATCAGTTTATTAGGTGGTCTATGTTACTCAGTTTATGGTGTAGTCTGTATCAGTTTATTATTTGGTCTGTGTCATTCAGTTTGTGATGTAATCTGCATCAATTTGTTATATGTTCTGTATTACTTGGTTTATGGTGTAGTCTGCATCAGTTTATTATTTGGTCTGTGTCATTCAGTTTGTGGTGTAATCTGCATCAGATTGCTATGTGTTCTGTATCACTTGGTTTATGGTGTAGTGTGCATCAGTTTTATTATGTGGTCTGTGTTACTTTATGGGATAGTCTGCATCAGTGGTCTCTGTTACTATGTTTATCAAATAGTCAGCATCAGTTTATTATGTGGTCTGTGTTATTCTGTTTATGGTTTGGTCTGCCTCAGTAAGCTGATTATTTTCTGGTAGTTTTCTCATCGTTTTTCCTCCATTCACCCATCGTCTTTCCAGGCACTAATGGTATATCTCTTCGAGACTCCTCCCCTCTTTGGCATCCTGCTGCGGAGCTGTTTCGCTGTTCTATAGAACTGACACAGAACAACAGGCTGCCTTCTGTCTCTCCTTATAAACCCCGTTTGCACTCTCTTTTCTGCTGTAACATATTTCAGACTATTTTCAGTTGCTGTTATGTTTAATGTTGTCTGTACTTTTCCCCAGTTTTCCCCTCTTTCTATTAGTCTCAATTGAGATTGCATCTGTCTTAGGGCTGAATGATAAAACAATAACAATAATTATCATAATGTAAATTCCCCTCAATATAGATCTAACAGATGCTCGATTAAAGTTTGATATAATTTACGGCCCAACATGTTGCTAGCGACATGTTTTGCAGCAAAATGAAATGAAATCACTTTCTCTGTGACTACTTGTCAGGACCGGCAGTGGAGCACAAGCATAAATAAGGTCATGAAAATGGGGGATTGATTGAACAAATAACAGAATGCAATAGGTCAGGTAGGCAGACAACAGACATAACCATAAACACAACAGAGAAACTCACTGGGAGAGCAGGTAAGTCCAAAACAACCAGTTCAATAACAGTAATCCAGTAATCCGGCAGCATTTTCTCTGCTAGGACTGTTAAATAATGGTGTTAACCAGAAGTAGACAGTCAGCCAAACTCCCTCAGTAATCAACAAGAGAGTCAGGATATAGCTTTCTTGCTACATGTTGCAGAGCATGTTGATATGGTAGAGAAGAGTAAAACTGAAATGCCGGAAGTGTTGAAACTAGAGCATGAGATATGTAAACATATTCTCTAAGACATTGTGTAAGTTACACATTTATGCTCAGAGCATACAGAAAATGACAATTTGTCACAAAAGTTAAGGTACAGAACATGTCAGCCAGTAAATATCAGTAATTAAGATACAAACATCCCATTCACAGTAAATGTCCTTACTAAATACTAAAAGATAAATCTGTAAATAATAAAAAGGTGCTTACAGGTAATTCCCATGAAAAGTGCTGTATTGGAACCTCCTTGCATCTAACACATGGCACCACTTCCTGCCTCCTGTACAATTGCAGTACCACCTTTTACCAGGGGCCATGCTAAAATGATTAAACATTAAACTGACTGCCTTGGTGACCCCACTATCAAACATACACACTGACTTTTAATAAGCTGACTATCAGTCCTCTACCAGTAGCAGAAGAACAACTTCCGAGATAGGTCTTATGAATGTCCTCAGACTTCCCTGGCATCCCATCCTGGCTCTGAAAGTTAGAAGTTACCAGTGCCATGGGCCACACATTCCGTCCTGCTTGACTGTCTTTCAGCAGCATTACATCACCTTCCTGCAGGTGATGGTGATCTTCAGTCCACTTGCGACAACTCTGGAGCGTTGGTAGTTATTCGCATTTCCATTGTGTCCGAAATGTGTGCGCAAGAGATGGTACCTGTCTCCATTGCCTGTGGTGGTGGTCCTTGCCAGAAAGGCCTCCTGGTGGAGGGGGAACACCAACCTTCTGCATGAGTAACATTGTGGGTGTGAAGTTGAAGGGGGCATCGGAGTCGGTAGAAACCAGAATGAGAGGTCTGGCGTTGATGATAGGAGAAACTCGAGAATCCTCTCCCAAGGGCCTCTTGCTTGCTTGCAGAGGTATCTCTGGATCCTCGATTCATCTTGCTACTTTCAACCCAAGCTTATTGCTGGTGTCAACAAAGTTCATCCCGCAATTAGATCTCAGTTGCTTTGCAGGTCCATGGATCGCAAAGAATCACCACAGAGCATTAATGCAGTTTGAAGTATCCTTGGACTTGATTACCTCGATATGCACGGCTCTAGTGATCATGCAGGTAAACAGAATTGCCCAATGCTTGCTTTCAGCATACCCACGTCTTGTGCACTGTGCAGTGATCTTCCAAGGCCCAAAGGCATCCAATCCAATGTATGAAAATGGAGGGTATGTGCTGAGGTGTTCGAGTGTCAAGTCTGCCATAATCTGCACCTCCATTTTCTCATGAAGTTTCAAACAGGTGATACACTTGTGTATGACTGAGCTGATAAGCCTTTTGCATCCAGTGATCCACAGGCTAGAGGATCTGATTGCTCCTTAGGTAAAGAGGCGGCCTTGGTGGTGCTGTACCAACAGGGTGGAGATGTGCCTATGATGACATCTGTGGCTTGGGAAAGCTCATCAGGGCTGCGAGGTTTTATGCATTGATGCCATCCCCTACACTTTTTGGCATGGTCGGTAGACTTGTAGGATCAGGCCACATGGATGTTGAAGGGAACAGCTCTCAAGAATGACTTGCATGCAGAAAGTGTCACTGTTGGTGTCGCGTGAATAAGGAGGACCCTGCTACGGATCAGGCAGGTGAAAGGATTTTAATATCATGCTTGTAATCCAGAAGAAAAAGAAATCAAAAACGTAGTTCCGGAATCATGGTCGAGGTACAGGCAGCAGTCGGGAAAGCTTCGTCGGTAATCCAGGGGACAGGGCAGGCCTCAGGATCCAGGGACAGGTGGGTGTTCAGACGATCTTCATCGATACTCAGAGGGCTAGGCTAGATTTATCATTGGGAAAGCAGAACAGGGTCAGGGCAACAGGGAGGCAGAGGTACAGACAGGTAAAAGGGTATAATGGGACAGAATTGCTCAAACTCGCAAAAGTATACTGAATAAGTAGGATCTTTCATCAACCACGATGGACATCAGCTGTCAGAGGGAGGTGTACAGTAACCGGTTCTACCGGGTCCCGGGGCAGGCGGGGAGGGAGCACTCCGGCCGCGGCTACACACCCTTCTCGGGGCGTGGAAGGAAAGCCCTGTGTGACATCATAGGGGCTTCCTTGGAGCGGTCCATGACAGAAAAGTGTGAAAACCTGCCCATGGTGAGATTTTGCCTTTGAACTTGTGTGGGGAAGCTCATTACGTCAGGCCTCACTTCACCATCCAGTTCGACTGATGACTGCGAAGGACTCCAGTTTTATTAAGTTCTCTCCAAATGAGCATGATGGGCCAAATGGCCTCCTCTCGTTTGTTAATTTCTTATGTTCTTATGGTCTATGGAGGAAAGCTGATCCACTGAACCATGTTGTTCTTGCAAGGTATGATGCCGGAACCCCCCTGGGCACATTATCAGCTGTATTGTGTTCTGTTGGCACAAAGAACCATTGCTATGGCTTGGTCGACTGGCGTTTCCGCTGTACCCTATTGTGGACATACACGTAGAAGTGCTCATTGTGGATGTACCCGAGAACCATCTTACTATCACAATAGAACTTCAATGCATGCATCCAGGATGAGCTCTGCCACTTCTATTGATAAGACTACAGTTCAAGCCTGGGAATGGTGGGCTTGAGCAGAGGAACTAGCTTAGCTTTCCGTAGGATGAAGCCAACATTGCTGTTCCCATTTTCATGGATGGCCCAGAGGTAAGCCACTGCCCCAATAGCTTGAGTTGATGCATTGGAAAACACACACAACTCCGTGCACCTTGCCTTGGAGAGGGATTTCAATGTAGCTACGTGGAAAATGTAGCTGCCCTAATTCCTGAAGCGAGTCACACCACACTACCCATTCATTCCATTTCATTTCTGGGAGTGAAGCGTTCCAGTCAGCCTTGTTATTGGTGAGTTCCCGGAATAGAGCTCTTCCTTGTATAGTGACAGAAGAGGCTAAACTGAGGAAGTCAAAGACACTGTTTATGATTCAGGCAATTCAGACTACAAGGCAAATGAAGAGATTTAAAACCCTAGGAATAACAACCCGGGCCATGATTTTAGATCTGAACTA